AGAAAAGGACTGAGGCAAAAATTCGAATCAAATTTGTGGTTAAGATCAGCAGTGAGGTCAACTGCTTTCCTTTAGCTTCATTTGTGGCGGTTGTGTGGAAATTGCAGCAAAACAGTCTCTTCACGCACCAGATTTGGAAATAAGGGGAAAGAGATTATCTTTAGGGAGGTAAACTTTTAAAAAATGAATCATTTACATTTTCAAATATTTAATGAAGCCAGTCGAGAAAAGCAAAATCGCCTTAAAGAGACTAAATGGCTCCCGGGCCAACAGGATTTGACAGTAATTGATTGAATATATTGAAAGAAGGCGTGTCAGTCAGGGAATTAGAGAAGATTCCAGAGCCCAATTTAAGCCTTGTGTTTACATGAGCTCCCCTGGCAGGACAATCACAGCTGTGGAGATGGTGCTATTGGGACGATTACAAACTCTTAATATCTGCACATGTATTTATCAGGTCAGTGTGACAGGTGCATACATCTCCCTCTCTCATGATGTTCCAACCTCTGAGCCCTGGCTAACTTGAGTCTTCCCTGTTCTGCTGGCAGCCTCTGGGACTAGAAGACTTAGAGCCGTTCTCAGGACTTGGTGGGTCCCCAGGTGATGATACCACCGGATGGAGCTTCTTGGAGTCAGCCACTGCTCCGCTCTTGTTGTCCCTCTCTGGCACCCCACCCCCCGCCCCACATTTCCATAAGCCCAGGTCTTCACGCTTCCTCCGTTCACTAAGTACTTACCTACTGCCAGGCCCCAAGGTCACGTTCTTAGTGTAAACTCTGAAAAATCAGCCTGGATGTAGCCTTATGAACCCTCTAAGACAGGGTCTTTTCTAGACTATGGGAACCCCCTGAATCTCTACGAAGAACTTTAGGTATGTGTGTTCCTGGGGAGAAAATCTGTAGACTCTTAGGGGGTTCTTTTGGCTAAGGTGGCTTAGACCGTTGCTTGGAGGAGCAAAATTTGACTTCTTGAGCATGGAGGTTCTGCAGGGAGAAGGCCTGTACACCTGGAAGCCAGACTTTAAGCCCTTAGGGATGCAAAGGCTGTAGATGCCCAGGGACAGAGGGAGGAGGAGGATGTGTGGGTCAGCGGGGGCTAAAGAAAGGGACAGCATGCTATTCGGTAATGCACGTAGACTGCCAAGGGGGTAATATTCTTTGGACGTTTTCCCAACTTTTTTTTTTTTTTCTGATTGATTTCTTTTTATGGGAGGAAGGAGTAGGTGGAGGGCTAGGTAGCAGGGACCATTCCCTCAAGCATTTTCAGGGACATGGAAGGCACCCCGTAATGCAGGAAGGAAATTGCTATGGGGTAATACAAAAAACAGCACTGTACTAATTTTTGCAATTTTAAATCCAGTAGCTATTAATAGTCCCTGCAATGCAGTTAACTCCAAGTCGTACAGTTCAACTCACTCCGACAAGCAATAATTGAATGCTCTTTGTCCACATTATTTCAGCTTTCCTATTGAAAAGTTCGATAGGTTATGGGCCATGAGCTACTAACTGGTGGTGTCATATCCACAGATTGAAAGCAGGTAAGCTTTTAGAGTAACACTGTGGTATCATTAGGGGGTGTTTCCCTGGCTTGCCTGGAGTACTTCTGGTCTACCTGCACTGTTTTGGTGTTATTGCTAATGGCACCTCATTCAGATGACAATTTATTTGGTCGCTCCTCTATATAACTCTTTTATTGCTCTAACCTTATTTAATTTTTGTTTGTTTATTTGTTTCTTGAGCTTCCTATTAAACTAACGAGCTTCGTGAGGCTGGAAACATTTTCTCATTCATCTCTGTGTCTAGCACAAGGATACGATTTGGTGGACACTTAAAAAAAAAACATTTCTTAAATTGAACTGAAACTAAAAACAGAATAAAGAAGAGCCTTAGAGTAGAAACGGTTAGCTCACATTATCTTCCATGTGCTGTCAAGATCTGGACTGGAGGCCCAGTTCTGAGTTAATCTGAGCCTTGTGCCTTGGGAAACTTATTTAATCTTTTGCAACGAAATGTAAGTGTGTGTAAAGTGCTTAGTGAAAAGCTTTTAAGTGCTCAGTCAATGTTAGGTTCTGTCTTTGTTTCCAAATCATTAGTTGCTAATAATAACTATTACTAAAATAACTTGAAATTCCAGCTTTCTTAGCTGGAAATGGAAGGTAATAATTCCTGCTTTATTTTGATAATGAACATGAAGACACTTTGGAAACTACAGAGAGCTCTAATTGCATAGCCTGTAAAAGAAGGCATGGTAACAGGGAGATTGGTGCTCATAGAACCAGCATAACTCTGGCAAATTATATGGGGGCTCAGTTGAATGGCAAGATAAAGAAGCTTTTAAATATTTTTAAAAGATGATTTTTTAAAATGGGGCCAGGTGGAGAGGGCGGGTAGAAGGTGATCTGTTCCAAAGTGTAGGAACATGATAAAAGCACATGGGAATAGATGGTGGGATGGACTTGGGACAGATCTGGAATTGAGGATTGGGACCATACTCCATCTGGGTCTGACAAAGCACTGCTTCCGGCATGATGAGGGGACAGAACCATTCCAGCCTTGGCATCTGGGGAGCAACAGCTTGAGTATGCATGTCAGGATCGACATGCTACTTTGCAAAATCAGTCAAGAGCTTGTATTTCTGAGGTGAGGTGAGCATTTTATCAAAGGCACGCCAGATGTGGCCGAGACCTGAGAAAAACGTTCAGCACCTGCGTGCACTGCTAATAAGAGGAAGTAACCTCCTGATTACATGTGAAAGCAGCTTTCAGCCCAGAAGCACAGAAACTTTTCTGATAAGATATCTTCATCAAATGAGAAAGAGAAGTTGGTGGTTTTAAAGTTACATGTTTCAGATCCTTTATCCTAACAGGCAATTCTAACAAAAGTAGAACTGTTGACACTAGGAATTCTTAGATCTAAATGCCGATAAACCCAAGGGTCGCATTTCAGGTCTATGTTCAGGAAATGGTGAAACAGTGGGAGCAGCAGCAGTGGTAGTAAATGCTTATGTAGTATTTTCGTATAGTAACTCATTTAAATGTCACAGCAGTCCTGTGAAGTGGGTGCTATCGCCACCACCCACATTTTATGGGTGACAAACTGAGGAATAAAGAGGTTAACTAACTTGTTCAAGGTCACACCCAGTAAGGGGTAGACTAGGCTTTGAACTCTAACAGTCTTGTGCTAACAGAATGTGCTTTTCCCCCAGGCACTCTCCTTCCTTTCAGTTGCAGTCATTATAACCAATTTAAACTTCACCTACAGCTTATTGGGGCAGAGCCGTGGAACTCTGGCCATACACTTCAGGGCTGGTTTTCCATTCTGTCCCAGGCTTCACTTGGAAAGAAGAAGTTTGTCCAGATTATAAATTTGTTAGAGGTCAGACTCTTATCTTCTTCATATTTGTATCCTCCAGGGTTTCCTGACCCTCATAGCAGCTGCTCGGTAAGCATGAGTTGAAATAAATCAAATCGTCTCTATGGCTTCCCCCCATCCCCCGATGTAACATTCTTTTTGTTACTGAACAAGAGAGGAGGGTGGGAATGCATAGCTCTACCCCAAACCTCCAAAGACAAGTTAGGATTTAGTTGTTCATCTTCGTGTGGTCAAATACTTTCACCAAATCCTTACTCCAAACTCAAGACCTGGTTCTAGTACCTCCTGCCCACGGTGCTGCTGATCCCAGCCAAGGGAATCATTCATTGCTGCTGCTGCCTCATTCTTCTGTCACATGGCTCATGGGCACCTCTGTGAAGGCTGTGGAGCAAGTGCAAGACTTGGAGGCTGACGGATCTAGGTTTGAACCTTGGCAGCAGAACTTGCCAGCTGTGTGGCCTTGGACATGTCATTACATTCAGACTTTCTGAGCTCAGCCTCATCATTTATGAAGTGAAGGTAACATTATCCTACTCAGGGGATGCTTGAGAGACTTAAACAAGATAAGGATGGGGAGGGATAAATTGGGGGTTGGGATTAACAGACATTCTCTCTCTCTCTATATATAAAATAGCTAAACAACAAGGACCTACTGTATTGCTCAGGGAACTATATTTCTTGTAACAACATATATATATATTTCTTGTAACAACATATAACGGAAAAGAATCTGAAAATAAAAAATAAACATGCACATATGTATATAACTGAATCACTTTGCTGTACACTTGAAACTAACATTACAAATCCACTATCCTTCAATTTAAAAAAAAGAGGAAATAGTAAAAATACAAAAACAAAAAAGCCCCAAACCCCCAAGATAATGTATCATGTAGTATAGGTTTGGCATCAGAGCAGCCACATGCTAAAATTGTAGAAGCTGAATTTCCCAGTTAGATTCCAACTTCTTGGAGGCCTGGGATCGTGTATTACACTTTGCCCGGAGTCTTTCTCCCCACTTTTGTAACTAAGCAGGACCATGTGGGGCCTTCCCGGGACAGACCCCTCCCCCATAACCTCCGCTGTAGCTCCTCTCTGAAGTACCCACATAGTAATATCTCATGTATATTTCCTGATATTTCAGATGCTTAAAAACACCACCAAATGAGAGAAAATGAACTACTTAATGATCGGGAGCGCGTGGCCCCAGACCTTCTGGCGCCTAGGGGTTGAGTGTTGACCGCCCTGTTACCTCAGCGTCCACCAATCAGAGAATTGTGCACGAGCTGATCACGTACCCTCAACCCCGCCTCCTTTAAAAGCCTATGCTTTGCGGAAACTTTTCGGGGAGTTCAGGATTTTCTTGGGCATAAGCCTCCTTGTCCTCCTTCCTCAGCTCTGTGATACACCTTTCTCTGCTCCAAAATTGGATGTTTCAGTTTGTTTGGCCTCATGGTGCGGCGGGCACACGAACTTGCATTCGGTAACCCTTTTTCCACCCCTCATTCTGTCCTCCTTTCATCCTCCTCCACTTTTTCATTCTCTGCCCTCCAGTTTTATCACCCAAATTCCAGTTTGTTCCTTTGTTGTTTATTGTGCTTATTCGGGATCATTTTGGTTCTGTCCCAGGAGATATTTGGCTACCGGACTCAAAGCTGCCGGAAAACCCTCTGCCTCGCTGGCTCCATTTTCTCCTTCGGGATTCTCCCCTTGGTGTTTTACTGGAGACCCGCTTGGCACGTGTGGGCAAACTGCATCCCGTGTTCCTTGCAAGAAGCAGATGTCGTGCTGCTGAGGACAACAGTAAGTGTGTCCCTGGTCTTGTACCTTGCGGCCTTTTCCCGCCGACGTCTTGTAATGGGATGGCTGTGGGGAGAGGGGCGCAGGGCAGGCGGCAGCTGGAGGTTCCAGCCTTTGGTTCTGCCACAGCCTTTCATTTATTTACCAAGAGTTGAATAACTTGTGTATGATGGGATTTCATGAAGAAGACCTATGTCACAGGGTAGTCCTTTTAAAACTGTGATTTTAGTGAATATTGGAGTAGGGAATAATCATGTTATTGGCTACAAGTAATAGGTAGTGTGAAGGAAAGTCAGGCTCCAGGCAGTAACATTCACACTCATTTTTGCCTTGCATCCTGACATATCCATGCTTATCCCAGCCCTCCTCCAGTGGAGCATCCCTGGGGGAAGGGAGGAAGGAGAAGGGGGAGGAGATGGGAAGCAACCTCCCCAACCCGGCAGAGGATACAGTCTTCCACAGCTCCTTGAGGGAGCCACGGTTCTTGGTAAGGGTGTGTTACATCCTGCAGACGTGCTAGGGTAAAAATGCAGCCATCTTGTCCCCGAGGTCATTGCCCTTTTCTGCTAATACCAGGTCCTGGTGTCAGGTGAGAGTCCCTATATTCTCTTCGACACTGACACTCATCACACTTAGGCGATGAGCACTGCTCTTGCTGGACTGTCAGCTCCACAAGAGAAGGGGCCATTTCCAACTTGCTAATTGCTGCATCCCTAGATGCTGCACGGGGTACAGATTCCATAAATACGTGGCGGTTGACAGGCTAAAGTAGATATTCCTCTTGATAAGAGTCAAAGTACAGTCTCACAGAGGACCTATTTCTGTCTGTCTTTTACTGAGTGGGTCTCCCAATGCATCAGCCCAAAAGACCCAGAACGACAGCCCAATTCTAGATAAATCAAACTCTACTGGGCTGTTAGCTTTTTTTTATGTACAACAACCTCTCTAAACATTTTCTTTATTGCAGCAGGAGGAGAGGACAGCAACTAGTCTAATAACTGATGAAAAAACAAAAGTTCCACAATTCAATCTAATGGAGTTGGGGCTAGACCCCAGGGAAACTAGGACTGGGATGAGGTTTGTCTTTGTGAACTTGGCTTCCCTGGGGTCAGCCCCACCCCTTATTTCTGGATCTTGGTCACTTCAAGAACCACCTATTCTATGCCTCAGCTTAGCTGACATATGAACCATGACACAGGTGACAGCTGAAGCAGTTCCTCCCAAGTTCAACTATAATTTAACTCGAGATTCTTGGAGAATAAAGTTCAAGACCTTAAGAAGGCTAGATTCTAGTGGAGTAAGAGTAAGTCATACTGATGAAGTTAGGCTGCCTCAAGCCATAGTTCATGAAGGCTCAGGGAATCTGCATGAGAGAAGAGTGCCTGGTGCTCACCAAGGAAGACTTCGTCCTTTGATGGGGAGGAAATGGGGCCTGGAGAGGGGACACAACTTACCCACACTCCTTGGTGAGAGAAGACCTAACCAGGACTAAGTTGCATTTATCCCAGCTCCTAGTTCAAGGCTATTTCCCATGCAACTGCACTGAGACCAGTAGTTTCCAAACTTCCACAGGCATCGGAATCATCCAGAAGGTTTCTTAACGTAGATTGCTGGGCCCCATCCCCAGAGTTTCTAATTCTTTAGATTTGGATTGGGCCTCAAGAATTTGCATTTTAAGCCAGTTCTGAAGTGATGCTAATGCTTCTGATAAGGGACCCTACCTTGTGCAACATTGCCATAGGTAGTCCTCACTCCCATTTATGAGCTCATTTGGTCCTTGGGAGACAAATAGAGGCCTGGACATTTGCTATATGGCTCAGCCAATATATATTTATATAATTTCAAGGAGAATGATTCATATTTAGTGAAGTGTTGTAAGTGGTCCTCTTACACACAGCCTGAGTGTCTTGCTGGAACAGGGGTAGAGAGAGATTTGTTTTCTGGGGCTCAGGGTGGAAACATAAAAACAAATGGAAAACCACATCTTTGGGATCCTTTCATAGATCAACCCCCTCCATGTGATCTTAAGGACCTATGAGATTCTTAATTTTGGGTGTGAAAGGAGGATTTGGAAAATACTCTACCCTGCAGTTACTTCCATTTCTTCCAACTAGTTCTCAGAGGGCAATCCTTTTGCTTCAACAGAAACAACCTCAGAAACAGAAAAGCTTTCTGCCTTTCAGAATGTGCCCCCAGACTCTTCTGATGGGAGAACACCTGGTCGGCGGAGCTGTAAGCTCTGAGGTTGCTAGCAGGGTCAAGGCACAGACAGAAATAAGAGGAAATGAGGAAGGAAATGGCAAGGAAGGGAGCAAAACGAAGACAATGGAGACGGAAGTAGGGAAAAGGAAAATGAAGAGGAAGGAAAGAGAAAGAAAGAAAGAAGTAGTAAGATACAAGCTACTATGTGTAAAATACATAAGCAAGTGTATATTGTACGGCACAGGGAATTATAGCCACTATTTTGTAATAACTTTCGATGGAATATGACTGTAGAAATACTAAATCACTATGCTGTACACTTGAGACTAATATAATACTGTAAATCAACTGTACTTCAATTAAAAAAACCTTAAAATTTATAAAGAAAAAAGAAAGATCTGGCAAGAGTGAAAGAAGTAAAAAGTGCCATCCAACAGGGAAATGGTGCATTTTGGGTTTTGGAATCCAAAGTTTTGAACTTCTAGAACTTCTAGTCTTAGCACCTTAGATGTGTGACGTTCTTTTTTTTTTTTTTTTTTTTTTTTGCAGGGGGAGGTAATTAAGTTTCTTTACTTAAATTTCTTTTCTACTGGAGGTACTGGGGATTGAACCCTGCACCTTGGGCATGCTAGGCACCACTTATTCTACCACTGAGCTGTATCGCCCCCCCCCCTTAGCTTTTTACTTAAACTTGCAGGACCTCAGGGTCTCTATTTACAAAACAGGTCTAGTAAAAGGCACTTGTCCTTTCTTGGTTTGGTGTGAGGATGAAGCGAGATCACATATGTAACAGCCATTCACAAACTGTAAAATGCAATATCAAAGACCATTTTGATTGTGTGTGTATGTGTGTGTTTGTGTGTCTGTGTTGTTGCTCAAGCAGCTCCACATGCTTGCTGTATAAAAGGGCTTTGCTATGGACCAGAAACACCGATGTCTAATGGCCCTACTCATCTGGATGCTGCATCCTTCCCTCACTAGCCAGGAGCCCTGGCATTTCCTTCCAGGACAGGAGACATGGGGAAGGCGTCCTGTAGCTAGGAATCCCCAGCCGTCATCCGTGTTCAGTCAGGTCACCTCTCTTAGTTGCATGGGGTCAGCTTTGCAACTGGACCAATATATATTGGAAGGATTCAAACAGGCATAAGTGCCTTAGGGGGCTGCGTTCCATTCTCCCCGCTCTTTCTTTGCCCTTCTCCCTTTCATTGCTCTCTACAAATAATCAGAGCTATTGAAATCAGCTTCCATCTTGCCGTTTTCGTCTTTAATTTTTAATTACTTGCTCTTGGGCGTCAGTTTAAATGGATTTGCTATGCCAGAGACTCTCCAAATAAATGAGGTGCTAAATTAGTCTTTATGTAATTAGACAAGAACTCAATTATTTCAAACACTTTTACTCGGAGAGCCTTAGATTAAAATAAGCTTTGGGCACCAATAGTTTAAAAGTCTGCTGTTAGGTTATTTGCATTAAAATGACACCTGAAGAAAGACATTATCTGAATTATAATAGCTGGACAGTAAAGATTTCCCAGGAAGGAAGACTGGGTGACTCATACCTGAAAATGTGTTGTATCTGTTTTTCATGTTATTAAAAAATCAGTACTTGGTATTTATCATCAATCTCACGCTAGTAAGATTACAGATCATTATCACAGATACTGATTGGGTAATCATTTCTTAACACTAAAAAAAATAGTAATGTGATATACTGACTCGAAGTCTTTAGCACCCAGTTTATTTTCTGCTCCCCTTTTCTTATTAAGGACCTCTAAGAATGAGATTTTTCCAAAAGATAAGAGTAATTACATTTTTATTTTATAATGTAAAAAATGGCATTTTATTTATTATTCATCTACTTCTGAATTTTAACCAATATCTGGAGGATGCCACATTGCTATGCGAATAACATGATTTACATTCATTGGCCTCTTTGAATTCAGATGCTCTTGATGATTTCCATAGTTTTCATCTTTATCATAATTACAAATACATTTTTCCCTTCACTGTCATTGTATGTCGCGTGTTGCCAGAGGCTCCCGAAGTGCAGAGGAGAACTTTGTGATGATGGGCTATTAGGCCTGCCTCCGGGCATTTCATTTCAATGCTTTAACGGGGAATGTTTTCCCTTGTTGCACCTAAAGATGTCGTGCTACGGGCTGTAGTTTGAACACTTAGAAATCTGGCAAACCGGCCATGCGCATGGCATGCAGAGTCCACCAGCCCACCAAGATGCTCATCAGCCACCAGTGTCTGTGTTTATGTTTCCTGGATTCCTGCTTCCACTCCTCCCTCCTCCTCTGCAACCTGGTCTCTCCAAGCCCAGGCTCCCCACATCACATCATTTTCTAAGGGAACCAGATACTTTGTTTTGTGTATGTTTTTACTCATAAAATTTCTTCTGATATTTCCTATCTCCTTCCTTCATTCGTTCCCTTATTTATTCATTCAGTAAGTATTTATTGAGCATCAATTATGTACCAAACATTGCGATAAGCACCGGGAATACAGTTATGAACAGCTATGGAAATCCCTCTTCTCACAGAGTGACATTCTGGAGAGGAGTCAACTCACACACACACACCCCCTCTACACAGTAAACATACGAAGTAGATGTTCTATCTCTACTTATTAAAACCTACTCATTCCTCAGCCATATACCACCTTCTCCATTAAATCTTTGTTGATCCGTTCTCTGCCCTAATTCCAGAGGGAATTAATCACCTGTTCATTCTCTTTTAGCTCTGTATTTTTAACTCTGACTGCTGTAATGCTTTCTGCAGTCTGCCTTACATTAAAATGCC